ACATGTTTTTCGAGATGTCATAGCTGATCAAGCTGCGAAAGGGTTAATCTTTAAAAATGCTCACCAGCATCAACAGGTCGTGACCTTAGATCTGTAGGGGTCCAACTCCTCACATAAGATAAGCAGCTTTTCTTCTAAGGTCAAGGAACTGTGAACGACGCTTGGCACTTTTTGTCACCCCTACAATACTTCTATTCTCTTTATTTGCTCTACGTTTTCATTTCTTTTCTCGACGTGAGACAAAGGACGTCTGTGAAGAGATTTGATGAGGTTCCGTTCAGTTTGGCGCGATTGTAAGGGGAGGAACTAAGCCCTCGGAAGAGGCCTGAGCCTGGGTTTTTCGGCCTATCCCTGGGCTCAGATTTTGTCGCTCTTAGAGGAAACGTTTGCCGTTCTGACTTTCCAACAAAGCAGTGCCAAAGCTGAGGATGAGATCGGCTGGCTATGACAATGTGCTGTCTGTCTGTCTGCCTATCTGTCTGTCTGCGTCTGTCTGTCTGTTTGTCAGTCACAAATACTATGAAATCGTTCATAAAGGCAGGACCTCTCCTCTTCTTCTTCTTCTATTTGTGTAAGTCAAGAATAACTGTCGACCCTTGTGACGCTGTTGGCCCTGATTTAGCGCAGAAGAACAGTGCAATTTGTTTTCTTCATTTTTCTTCGATCGAATATCTCAGGCTGCTCCCCCTATACTTCAACAGATCACCATGTGCGCTTATTTCGAAAATATGTACAATGTGTCTGACTGGATTTTAAATAAGAACGGAAACAAACGAAAACACGCACAATCTATACAGTAAATTATGCACGTCACGAAGTGACCATTCAAAGTTGAGGCTGCTTTGCCGTTTTGCATGAAACACAACTGCAGCAATAAGACATTGAACAGACAATTTGGAAAATAGCTTCCTCTCCTGCAAGTCAGCATTTTGTAAGAAACCATTAAATACAGAGACATCAACAAATAGTTACGAGTGCGCTTCAATGCGCTTTGATCTGTTGTGAAAATGACCACCTGGTGCCCCTATTAACATCGGAAGACACCGTAGAGTGAGAACTCTCGGAGATACTTTCCCCGTCACCCGTAAGTGATGAGAGGAGCGTAATAAAAGGAGGACTTTGACCTGTCTGGGGCGATTTGATCGCCACAGCTGGAGACAAGAAACCTCGGGGAATTCACCTGAAGAAATTAGATCATTGCTTGATCAGATGAATTCGTTGTTGGAATTTTTGCAATACGTTGTCGTTGTTGACGTCTTTTTCTGGCTTGATGAAGATAATAATAATAATAATAATAATAATAATAATAATAATAATAATAATAATAGGGGGGGGGTCTTTTCCCCCACTTTTTTTCGTTTTCTTTTCTTTTTTTGTATTTTTTTAATTTTGGTTTTGGGGTTTGTTTGGGGTTTTTTTCTTCTTTTTTTTTGGGGGGGGGCTTTTTTGGTTGTTTCGTTGTTGTTTTTTGGGGGGGTGCAACAACAGCAGCTCTTGAGAACCATGCTAATGAATCCGAAGCTTTGGTGGAATATTCATGTACAGAAAAGTGATTGAGGAAATATACAAACCAACGCGATAGTTGTTATATCATAACTGTACGAAAATGTAAAAACGACGAAGACGAAGACTAAGAAGACGATTTGAAGAAGAAGAAGAAGAAGAAGAAGAAGAAGAAGAAGAAGAAGAAGAAGAAGAAGAAGAAGAAGAAGAAGAAGAAGAAGAAGAAGAAG